CTGGGAGTTGAAGTCCACACATCTTCAAGCGCCCAAGGTTGAGAAACACGGGTCTAACACCTCCATGACTTGAAAACGAGGCAGTTGAAGCTGCAGAGGGATTGCATCAACTTTCCTGCCAGTGTTGTTTCCTGCAAACGCCAAGAATGAGTGGACAGTGCGCTAACTTTGGAAAGAGGCAGCGTACTGAGATTCGGGGCGTCTGCGGGGAGGTGGGTCCAAAAAAGGGGACACACATTCAAAAGGGGCAGGACGGTCCCTGGATGGTTGTGGAAAGGGTGTTGAGATTGCGCTGATGATCTTAGACGGGACAGCCCTCCTGGAAGATACCACCCCAAACAAGGGGTGTCCTTCATAAAAGAGGGGACGTGGCCACCGTAGGAAATAACCCAGACCCCCAACCAGCCCAATTTCCAGACAGTAAGGACTGGAGGGTGGGGGAGACAAGGTGGGTCTCATAAACCTGGGTAGCTTTTTGCCCAGTTTGCAATCCTGCACACACGGCGGCTTGTTTGTTTCAGCCGGGGGGCCTGCAGTGGGTCAAAAAAGTCAAGATGCTGTCCGCAACCATACAATCAAAGCAACATATGTTACAAAGAGACCACAATTCGGTTGCTTAGTGGTATCCACCATCTTGACCTTTTTGACCCTGCGCAGCTACCCCAGTTTGTTTGTTTCTCCAGTGTAGAGGCTGCCCAGCTCCACAAGGCTGTGGGGGGATCCGACACGAAAAGCAGGAAAGCAGCAAAACAAGGAAAGCAGAGGTCCCAGCATTCCTTCAGGTACGGAGTAGAGAGCTCCAATGAAAGGAAGGATTCCAGAGAAGAAAATCCATTCGGAAGAGAAGTGTCCTATTGTTCATTTGTGAATGCAATTTGTCCGGTTTGTTTTCATTAAAGAGAGGTGCGCAAAATATTTGTGATTGGCATTTTCCAAGCAAACGCTTAAAACATTAAGATTCATGCAACACCCTTAATTGGTTTAGTGAAACATGCACCAGCTGTGCAATGGGTTCAGTTTGGCTGGGGCTAATTTTAGGTGGGGGTGCACAGCTTAGGGCATTGCGCAGGAAGGGCACCGTGCGACCCCAAGCCTCCTTGACTAGTCTGTGGTGCGACGTATTGCACGGGAAACTGGTTAATTCAATGGCTAGGTTAAGGAGGTGGCGGGAATCCAGGCCCACAGGAGCACATATCACAATTTAGAATTTAAAGCACAGTTTTGAAAAGGGATCATGAATTGCCACAAGAAAAGTAGAAGGGGAGGGAGGGAGGGAGGGAGGGAGGAAGGAAGGAAGGAAGGAAGGAAGGAAGGAAGGAAGGAAAGAGAGTGAGAGGAAGGGAGGAAGGAAGGAAGGAAGGAAGGGAGGAAGGAAGGAAAAAGAATGAGAGGAAGGGAGGGAGGAAGGGAGGGAGGGAGGAAGGGAGGGAGGGAGGGAGGAAGGAAGGAAGGAAGGAAGGAAGGAAAGAGAGTGAGAGGAAGGGAGGAAGGAAGGAAGGAAGGAAGGGAGGAAGGAAGGAAAAAGAATGAGAGGAAGGGAGGGAGGAAGGGAGGGAGGGAGGAAGGGAGGGAGGGAGGGAGGAAGGAAGGAAGGAAGGAAGGAAGGAAAGAGAGTGAGAGGAAGGGAGGAAGGAAGGAAGGAAGGAAGGGAGGAAGGAAGGAAAAAGAATGAGAGGAAGGGAGGGAGGAAGGGAGGGAGGGAGGAAGGGAGGGAGGGAGGGAGGAAGGAAGGAAGGAAGGAAGGAAGGAAGGAAGGAAGGAGAGACAGAAAGGAAGAAAAAGAGGGAATAAAGGGGAATAAAGGGAAGGGGAATAGGTAAATAAAAAAATAAATTATTCAATAATAAATAAGAATAAAGGGGAATAAAGGGAAGGAGAATAAAGCAGTGACGTTCTATGAGAAATGGCCTTTTTGAGACGGTTGTGCAACAAATACGTGGAGAAAATGATGGCAAGAGGCAACAAATCCAACCCTGAGTTTCCACCAAAGCAAAAACACGGCAAATGTGACATTGCAAATGAGAGTCGTCGTACAATTGTTGCCAGATCGCTTCCCTTTGAACAGTCCAACAATACCAGAACACACAAACTTCAGTGCAAAAAATAACCTTTGTGAAAGAAATCCAATTCCTGCCAAAATTGCACATCTGCTCTTGCAGATAAAGTGTTCCACATGTGCAATTAGGGTCGGAAGAAAGATGCATGAAAATAAGAGCGTCTCCTACAATTCCCCACCTTTAGAAACACGGCTGCCGCTGCCATCTGACCCAGCCGTTCACGCTTAGGACGGAGGCCGCCTCTGAGAAATGCCACATCGGAGAAGCGACATTACTGCGCGCCTGCACATTTCTGCCTCGGCGGCCATAAGCCGCCCCCCCACCTCCCCCCCCCCAAACAGTTTGCACGGCTTTGGACCAACCTGGTCGGAGAGACAAGCACCCCCGAAGTCTTCCAGA